GTATGGCTTTTCCTTGTGTGATCTTAGGTCTGCATTACCTTGTGTTACTATTTGATTTTTTTTTTTGGGGGGGGGGGCATTAGTAGTTATGAGTACATATTTTTTTGGTTGAAGGTGTGTGTGGATAAATGATTGTCTTTTATATCAGTTCACATCTCTCTCTCTCTCTCTCTCTCTCTCTCTCTCTCTCTCTCTCTCTCTTCTCTCTCTCTCTCTCTCTCTCTCTCTCCTCTCTCTCTCTCTCTCTCTCTCTCTCTCTTTCTTTCTTTCTCTCTTCTTTCTTCTCTCCCTCTCTCTTTCTTTCTCTCTCTCTCTCTTATTCTCTTTATTCTCTTCTCTTACTCTCTTATTCTCTTTCCTTTCTCTCTTATTCTCTTTTCTCATTCTCTCTTATTCTCTTTCTCTCTTATTCTCTTTCCTTTCTCTCTTATTCTCTTTCCCTTTCTCTCTTATTCTCTTCTCTCTGATTCTCTTTCTCTTTCTCTCTTATTCTCTTTCTTTCTCTCTTATTCTCTTCTCTTTTCTTCTCTCTTCTTCTCTCTTCTTCTCTTTCTCTTTCTCTCTTAATTCTCTTTCTCTCTTATTCTCTTTATCTCTTATTCTCTTTCTCTCTCTCTTTCTCTTTCTCTCTGATTCTCTTTCTCTTTCTCTTTCCCTTTTTATCTATCTCTATATATCTTCTCATTCTACAATCTCCCTTCTCCTAGTCTGCACTTTTTCTTCCACGCTTTTCGAAACTGAATATTGTAATAAGAATAAAATGGATTCCCTTCTACTGTGTCGCATTTAAATTCATACTTACATCCATTACAAGAAGTAGCTGGAAATTCCGAAATTATATATATATATATTTTTTTTTTACAAACTTTCAGGTCAGAATGCGGAGCCTCAGGCAGCCAGAAAAGAAGAATTGGTCTTCTTCCTCATTTTGTGTGAAGGTGAGATGCTAGAAAGAATATATTATCATAATTTTAGGTGTTATACGTATGGGTAGACAGTTGAAAGTATTTGAATAGATATACAGAAGGGCAGACTTTAGGGATCAAGGGAAGGGATCGGAAAACATGCCATCATGTAAACAATATTCATTGGGAAAAAATGTTACATTAAAGAAAATGGGATATTCTCCACTGAATGTATAAGAATGCAAATGAATAAGTTTCAACTATGATGTGTTATATATTGTATATATACATATATATATAATATATATATATATATATATATATATATATTATATGTATATAATATATATATATATAGTATACATATATATATATATATATATATATATATATATATATATATATATACATATATACATATATATATATATATATATATATATATATATATTATATATACATATATATATATATATATATATATAATATATATAATATATAGTATATATATTATATTATATATATATGTATATATATATATATATATATATATATATATATAGGCTTGTAAGAGCATTTGGTGGAAGGAATGTTCCAGTTTTCTAATAATGCCTTGGGCTGCCAGACCTGCATGAATTGATTGATATATGTACCTGAAATGCCACTAAAAAGTCGCGTCGTTGTCAGCCACCAATAACATAGATTTAACCATGTGTCAGGTAAGCCAAAGGCCGACCAGGGGGGAAAGAAGGCGTCTGATATCAGTCGTCAGATCCGTCAGTCTGCTGTCATGCTTAAGTCAGCGGCCGCTCTGACGTCAACTTTTCTCAGGTAAGTTTTCTTGGGTAGGCAGATGCGGAGGGTTGTTTGCGACGAAAAAAACGTAAGTGAGAATTAATGATTCCAGTACATATATATTAGACGATATTTTGAGATCGAAACTTTAAGTGATTCACCAGGCCTTGCGCAACTACTTGTTTTTTTATGAAATGAAGACAGATCTATAGAGAAATATATATTTAAAACAATTCCTGATTCGTTTTTTTCTTCCCCCTTCCCTTCCCTTAACAACATTACATTTCCTTAATTGCATTATTCACCTCCCCCTTCATCTCGACAGGTTCCTGGTGATAGCAGATTCGAAGTCTTTATACCAGCAGCTGGTGGACACGACGTCGAACTGGCCCCGAGAGTACCAGCAGCGACTCTCCTTCGAGTACCACGACGTGTGGTACCCTCCGAGCCGGGAGAAAATGCGCAATATGTTCCGGGTGTGCGCGACGGAGAGGCTCTTCCTGCCGGACATGTTCCCCGACCTGGACGCGGCCATTTACATCGACACCGACCTCGTGTTCCTTCGTCCGCCGGAGGACCTGTGGGCCGAATTCCGAGAGTTCAACGATAGGCAAGTGGCTGCGATGGCGCCTTGTCTCTATCACTACGGCTCGAACAGGAACAAGGTGAGAGCAGCTTTTGGTGCACTTACTGAGGTTTTGTGAGAGATACCTAGGCATAGACTAAGCGATATACAATAAAGACAGCCAGATATACAGTTAGCCAGTTAGTGTTAGGTTGATTAAAACAAGCAAAGGGAACAGGTAGAAAGAGGTTTGTGCTTCCATAACTTGAAGGTAGTTATAATATAATGATATGGGATTTACGAGCCAGTATGACAACCAGTGATAAAGAGTAAGGCGAATAAGGAAGGTGCAAAGTTGTAAGTCGTTTTTATCATCGCAAATACTCCCGCAGATTCCCTTTTACGGGTCTTCGGGCCTCAACGCAGGTATCATGCACATGAACTTGACGCGCATGAAGAGCTTCCCGGGAGGTGGTTGGACGCCGGCTGTCATGAAGGTCTTCGACGATTTCCGACAAAAGATCAAACTGGCAGATCAAGACATGCTGAACATCCTGTTTCATAAGGTAAAAGTGTTGGGCGTTCTAGGAGAGAGGAAGAGAGGGGCTGATAAGATATCTGTTTTTTTCATTCAGTCATTCTCATCCGCCATTCTTTCCATTCTCTTCTTTTCTCTTTTCCAAGAGATTTGTTTTATATCACACATCAGCATAGTGAAACATAGCATAACCCACAAAGTCCTCTGGGGCTATCAGTCCTCCAGGTCTTGCTCTATGTGGCATTATCACACATCATTTCTCAATACAGCATCCAGAGAAACTTTATGAACTGGGGTGCGAGTGGAACTACCGCATGTGGCAGTGTTCTCAGGGGACTAACATGTGCCCTCAGGCAGCCACCAAGGGGGTGTCCATTCTACATGGCAACGCCCTTGCTTTCGTCAGCGGGGCGGAAAGGAAATTACAGGTAAGGAGTTTTGTGTTGCATTTTATTGTATGTGTACTTATATTTTATATCATTCTTTTGTTTATTTGTTATTCTTTGCGCATGGTTGTTCTCAGCTTAGAAATCCATTTTATAGGGCGTTTTGAACTTTAGAGCAATGACAATTCGTAGCTACAAGCCAGAATTTACACACTAACCAGTCTCACTCTTTATTAAACCAACGACCATCAAACAATAATTCGGCTTTTGATTATGATTATTTTCTCATATGTACACAGGCGGTGTTCGACGCATGGGAGCGACATCATTTAGGAGATTCACTGCATGATCTCTTGACCTCGTTGCAAAAGGACCTCTCCGAAGTTAGTGAGAAGCGCCTGCAGTCCAAATGTGCGAAGATTTCTAACATTGATGCCATCCTAACTATGGAATTTGAGAAACATGTAAAGTGAATTTCGGAAGTTAGGTAACGAAAAGCAACAGAGAATAAGTGATGAAAGGATAAGAGTGTGTGATGAAATGATTGGTATTGATACCGAGAGTATCTCTTAAACGATAAAGCCTTGAAAGTATTACATTTTTCAGAAGAATTTTTGAAAATCCCACGCTGCGTTGACGATATATTTCAATTAATACCCAATGTGCCTATCTATTCGGGTATGTATTGATGGCCGATGACAAAGATTTCTCATATTGGGTTCAAAAGATTTCTAAATATTTTAATTATATATATAAAAGAAATACAATACACATTAAAGAAGATATCGTCAAATTTTGAAACTAGTGTTCTAAATATTATTTACACAAAATTCTAAAAAAATATAACATCAGACAGGTCAATGCACATTTTGTTATTCATTGATTTAACATGCCAAAGACTTGAATGAAATGTATATCCCATCTCGGTAATCGACATAAATTATTCATGCCATAAGTCAACATTTCTTGTTACTAAAGTTACCCTTACCACTAATGAACGACATTATATCTTCCATCTCCCTTTGTCAATACCATTAGAATAGACGCTGGGAAACTGCTCTTGCCCGCTTAAGAATTGGCTACACTCGCTTCACACATTCCTATCTCATGTCACAGTCTGATCCAACTCTGTGCTCTACATGCAATGTTCCTCTTTCAGTCTCACACATCCTACTTTCCTGTCCCGGCTTTACAGAAACCCGTGCCTTTGCTTTTCCTCACTTATTCTCACTTCCTCGATCCCCCATCCAACTGGACATCCTCCACTGGACATACCTTTTCCTTTGACAACTTGTCCTCCTTTCTCAGACGCATAAATATCCTCCATTTGATGCCATACTCCTCCCTCTTCTATGCCCTTTACCCCAAACCATACCCCGTTAGCAGTACAGTAGCACAATATTATTAGTAATGTTGATATTATGATAATGATAATAATTTTAATTAATTATTATAGTTATTATTTTATATTACTATTATTATTGTTATTATTATTATTATTATTATTTATACATTTCTCTCCGGGGCTGGTTTCGTAATAGTCTTCTCTCTCGTACATTCAAATATCCCTCCCTTCGGAGTCCAGTGACCTTACAATAGAGAAGTACGTGATCCTTTGCCTTAAAATGCATATACTACCTTCTTTCTCTCTTACAGTCTGTGCACTCTTGTCAGTAAGTTTCAGGACTGTTCAACATTACTTTAGATAGTTGACGCATAGCAACTATCACCTGACATCTCCCTTTACTATACCTTCCTATAGTGCTATATGACCTTAGATGTCTAGCACATCTATTTCGCTTTTAACCATTAACCATTCAGGACTGTCTACGCGCCACAGATCTGCCAGGTTTTGCTGGCTGCCCAGCCATGTTGGAATCCCCGGCTATGAACAGGCAGACCAGGCTAATTTGTACTTTGACCCATTTAATCATCCTCTCCACTTTTACCCTTTCCAACACCATCCCCATCCCCGTCAACTCCAACTACTTCCGATATCCATCCTCCCAACACTCATCCTCCTCCTGCCCATACCCCTACACCACTTCCTCCAATTTCCTCCCAGCATAAGCCACACATCTCAGCTCAAACTACACGTACATTCTCTCCCTCTCCATCCCCTCTATCATTTCCATTCCCTCCTGGATACACACGTGAAACCTTTATGTAATTCCCTTACCTAGACCCACCGGAACCCATTCACACATCAACTCCTTTACCTATCTTTAACTTTTCAAGACCACTCCTTTAATATACTTTCCTATAGTGTTCTATGACTTTAGATGTTTAGCACATTTATTTTGCTTCCAACACAATCATGCTGCTGGCGTGTAGTGCATAATCAATCTCACCCGCTCTTTGCCCTTCCCATAGGGCTGCACGACCTTTGATGTCTAGCATATTTATTTTGCTTTTTGGCCTCTAATCATGAACCATTTGGAGATGATAGTTGCAGTTCTGTCCTCTCATCGGTAATCCTTGCCTCCTATTTTGATTTCTTAGTAAGTGGCTCATGTTCATAACCCTAAAGTCCATTTTGACATACAATGCATTCTGCGTAATATCATGATTTGTGTGTTGGTGATACAATTATTTATTTGTTTTTTTTTTCATTGCGTACAGTAGCCTGGTAACTATTTATTTGACTACTTTCATTTTGTTTTTCGGTTAGAAATCGGCATGAAAATGCAGTATGCACATGGAACTTTTAAGTGGAAGTAAGTTTCAAAGCGACCTATAAAGTGAACTTTGCTTGGGTTTTCAGCTTTTTAGGATGATCATCTCTGAGCTTTTATTGAACAGCCCGGATTGCTTTACATTCCATAATTTTTGTCGGAAAGCTACCTTGATGCAAGATAAAGAGGATTGTGATATAAAATCATGGTAATTGGTCCAAAGCATTAGGAAAAAGTTGGAATGGTACTTATACGCAAGAATAAGGCATTTTTCATTAGTGCATGGGTCGGCATTCTTGCTATGCCCATTTGGGAGGAAAGCAATATTGTGATGCTTAAGTACGATGAATATTAATCATTTGAATATTTACGACTACTTTCATAGGATTTTGATACTATTTCCCAAGCAATATCAGCCGAGGACTAAGTATTTCACATTTGCTAAATTTAGGAATGAAAAACAAGTACAGCATCCATGGCAAAATTATTATTGATAATCTATTTTGGGCAGTCTTTCTTCCTGGTCAAAAATAGGAATATTATTTATGACGTAGATTTACGGCAACACTCTTAAAAAGAAAACATTGTATTTGTCATCTTCAACCAACTGTGATTAAATGATTTAAAAAATACCAAAACGTTGTTTGATAACCTCAAAATATTTATTTGTTGCTACCAATGCAAAATTAGACTAATCCTAATCTAGAGCTACCTTAATTTCCTATATAGAAGCTACACATTTAGTTTTAGATGGTTAATGGGCAATGGTTACAAAGCAAAATAAATATGTTAGACATCAAAGGTCATATAGTACTCTGAAAAGGTATCATAGCGAAAAGGGTAGAGTGTCAGTTATTGATTAAATGTGCTACACATCAGAAGTCGTATAGCATTTCCAGGAAGGTAGGTACTGATAAGGGTGATTAAATCAAATTGTCAAAGGAAGAAATGTGGAATTTTACAAGGATGTCCTTAGGGCAAGGTAGAGAAGCAATTAAGTCAGTTTCAGGAAAAATGTCAGGAGGGAGAGAATCCAGGGAAGGGGGTTGTGACAGAGGGTCACATGGGATGGAAGAGGGGATGCAGTTGAAGCAGGCAGGAATGAAATGTGTTTGGAGGGAGTAGGAGGAAGATGGATGTCGGCAATTAATTTAAGTGTAGAAGGAATGGGAGTAGAGAGATTGGTGGGTGGATGAGGTTTAGTCCTGTTACCTTCGGTCATGGTTAGATAGTTCTGAATGGTTAATGGTTAAAATAAATGTGCTAGGCACCTAAGGTCATATAGCACTATAGGAAGGTATAGTAAAGGGGGATGTCAGGTGATAGTTGCTATGTCAACTATCTGGAGTAGTGTTGAAAGGTTGAAGGTGAGGGAAAAGGTTATGGTGGTTTAGGTAAGGGAGTTAGATCAAGTGAAGGATATTTATGCGTCTGAGGAAGGAGAACAGGTTGTCAAGGCTGTGGGATTCTGTAAGGATGTCTGATATGTTGGGAGGTCGGTGAAGGGAAGATAGGTGTGGATAAGCAGAGGTACATTAAAACGTGGGCAGGACAAAAGAATGTGTGGAACTGAAAGAGGGACATTACATAGAGGACATAGGGGCGGGTCTGATAGTTCTGAATGCCTTCGAGAGTGTCTGAAGCGGATTTGGTTTGGGGGGGGGGGGTCTGAGAAACAGGTTTTCTTATGAACGGGAGATGGGACAAAAGTTTGAGGGGTGGAGGGAGAGGATGGGATGGAGAGTTAAGGTTATCTTGTGCGATGAGTTGAAAGGAGGAAGAGGGGAAGGTACCAGGGAAGTAGTGATTGGATAGTCTGCAATGGTAGTGGAAATTGGGAAGTGTGGTTTTAGAATGGCAAAAGAATTTGACTGGGAGAGGGATGGGGTAGAAATAGGATGAGGAAGAGATACTGAGGGAGGTGTCGGAACATCTTGAAAGGCAAGGGGAAGGGTAGAGCGCAGGTCATTATTGGAGTAGGGAGCGAGAGAAAAACCTCGTGGACGTGCTTCCTGAAGGTGCCACTTCAGACTCAAACTTGCAGGAGTGCAGCCCCTAAAAATACATTATGAGAGCCGTCACAATTGGCACATTTGTGTTACTGTACAGATCAGTTTGATCGATTATAACCAGGCTGGGGACATAGAGGACATCGGGCCGTAAAAACGGCAGTGTTTGGCAGGATGGCTTGGACGCCAGCAATTCAGACATTGTCGGGGATGGTGGGGGTGATATGGTCGGACAGGAAGGACTCTCCGCCAATGTAAACACTCTACGGAAGTAATATTGGCAATAATGGTGTTGGACTTACGGCGGCCTCTAGGAGAAAGGTGTAGCAATTGTATTACACGAGGCCAGATAAAGAGGATTGTGAAAGTGCTCCAAAATCTGACTAATCCCTGTAGACAGGGCAGCTTGTCGAGGATATAGAGACAGATCCGGTCCAAGTATTGAGGGAGGGATGAAGTTGGGCAGGAATGGATTTGCCAGTGAAGTCAGAGTAGATAACGCTATAGCTTGGGATTCGATTGTAACTGACAAGGCGAGGACGATCGGGGCGGCTGCGGAAGGAAACTTCACCTGCTTGTTTTTGGAGGCATTGCTGGGAGAGGAGAGTGTTGTCAGAGTAAGGGCTGTGGTGGTGGGGGGGGGGATTACAAAAAATCGATACCATTTGGTTGGGGGCCAAGTAGAGTATGGACGGTAGAAGAAGTAATAAAGAGAGAGTAGTGTTGAGAGAGGTAGGACTGCGGAGAGGTGGTCAATATGGCTGCAGAGTAGTAATAAGGGAAAATGGGGTAGTTGATGAAGACAGTTGTAGGGGTGGAGGTAATGTTGGGAGAGGAAGAATGGTCCTGGGTGTTGAGTAATGACCTGGTGGATGACCTGGACTGGACTGAGAAAGTTGTGGGGTGGAGGAAGGGGTAGTAGTAGCAGTGTTCTGAGTCGTGGTCAAAGAAGAGCCTGGGGCCGGGCCGGGCGGGAGGTATTTATTTGATAAAGAGACAAGTGTTAAAATACCCCTGATAATGACTCATTTTTTATTACTGGCCATGGTAAACCTAGAGTATGTTGGGAAGAGAAATAGTCACTCTACAGGGTCTCCTTGAGGGACAAGGGATAGACAATTTAACAGGGGAATACCGTGCCCGTGGCACCTGAGGAACTGGATGTTAGATAGGGTTGGAGAAGAAAAGGGAACGAAAAGGGGAAGGGAAAATTGTTCGAGTCGAGGGATGAGGCCCAAGGCAGGGGGTATCCCCAGCATTGGGTCCCAGTCTCCGTCTCCTACCCCACGGCAACAACGGGCATATGATGGGGGGGGGGGTAGTTTTGGCATATTTTGGATTATTTGGTTAATTCGGAGTGTACTAAGGCCTTTCCTCAGGAAAAAAAATGATTTAAGAAATAATATTTAACTTTTTTGAGTATAAGGTTTAGCTCTTGATATGAAGGAATATTATGTGAAAAATATGACAACAAAATAATACAAAAACGAAGAATAAGTATATTAATAAATAACTATAACAGTACGAAAATATAAACTGAAATAAATACGTAATGGGTTGAACGGTGGAGGAGGAATGATTATAAGGATGACTCTTGATGATGATTGATAAATGGAGATTTATGGATAATGGTTGATGATTAGAGAATAAAGTTTGATGGTTGTTGTTGATGGTGATAACTAATAGGTGATGGTTGATGATAATGATTGAAGGAGAATGAGGAGGATGTCTGTGGTGATGATGATAGAAAATTTAAATACAAATGATTTAGAAAAAAATTATAAAATAAAAAATTTGTTTTAAAAAATATGGGTAAACAGATAAAGAAAACAAGGCATAATGACTGGTGACGTTAATGGGTTTCTGTTGGCGATGGTGGGTGAAAGCAGCGGCGGTAACAAAAGTATCTTTAAAAATAATAATCAAAAATATCATCAGTAGGCTATGCATAATAAAAAATACACTGATAATTGTGATTGAAGCTCCTGATGATGATGGACGATTAGTGATTGACTGATTAATTGACGGATGATCATAATGGCAAAGCTAATAATGATGGAGTAATAATGAAGATGTCAATAGTGAGTATTATTCTTAGTTGTAATGGGATCATTTTATCATTATACTTATTTTTATTATTACTGTTGATATTATTATTATCATTAATAATAATAATGATGATTGATGATGATGATGATGATGATGATGATGATGATGATGGTGATATTATTATTATTAATATAAAGATTGGTACAGCTTACCTTTATACTCACCTTCACATTCAAAAACAAATATCATGACTAAATAAATACCCTATGCAATAAAGGTTAATGAAACCGTTCCATAAATGCACATTTTATTATAACAATGATGGTGTGTTGGTGCGCAGGGCGCAGGGAGGGGCATGGGAAGCGTTTACCGAGGGAAGGAAAAAGTGTGTGACAAGCCGCCGGGTCTCCACTAACAAAGAGGGAGAGCTATGAGGCTTCTAAGACTTGGCTAATTATTATACCTCTTTCATTACTGCACTATTATATTTTCTTTTAAACTGACAATTTACTCATATAATTTACAAAGTTACACTATAGTCCCTACTCATTACTCAATAATTTTGTAGATAATGAATTCAAGGTTTACAGTACATTATTACATATCCCTTGAAAGAAGACAATACAAGGATGTTACTACAGTAATACTGCCATTTATTACTTTAGGATGCAGTAAATGGAAAGCATATAATTCACTTAAAATGTATCAAACATTACATAATAGATGCATGACTTGTTCTGATCATTCAATGCCCATGTGTGCATTTATCAGTATTCTAATATTAATGGATAAGCAGAGTGCACCTTATTTTATCACCAAAATACACTTGTTTTATATTACTGGCATAAAAGGTAGATTAAATATACTTGGCTTAAACAAAATGACCTTTACAAAAATCATCACAAATAATGCAACAGCAGTATAATTACTCACCCACAGTGTAATAAATGGAGGTCTTCCTGCATAGACAAAAAAATGGCACAAACAATGATAATCTCAATGACAATCTTCTCACTGATAACAGCCACAAATGATGGCAAATATAAACGTTGAATTCCTTCTGTGTGGGCATGTCTTAAGAGCATCAGGTAAGAGTGGCAAGACAAAAAGGATCACTAAGCATAAATATTTACAAACTAGATTGAAATGTACACGAGATAAAACAAGAAAACCACCAAAGATGAAAGTACTGACTCCAAACTCAGAAAAGTTACATCTCTAGTTTATGTCCACATATACTTGGAATGTTAAAAAAGTAACTCATGACATTATCAATGAGAAAAGATTCATCACTTCTCATGCATTTCACAATGTTGACCATGAATAACCTTTTTTTATTTATTTGGTGTGTGAATATTTACATCATGCCTTTAAAAGAAAAACTTCATAACCATTACACAAATAATCTTGTATATACCTTAAACATGTATTGAGATACTGCAAATGAAGCTTACTTACTGATATAACATAGTAAGGATCACTCAGATGATCAAAGACTGTTTTGTATATACACTTTCAAATCTGCCTTTGGACTGGATTCCTCATTTCTGCTTATCTCCAACATTACACCAAAGCAATATTTGAGATTCTTACACATTCAATGTGTATCATTTATCATTCTAGTCTTACCCTTATTTGGAAACAAAAATCACCTTG